ATTCTTTGCACCTAAACACCCATTGTTTGGATAGGTTTTGGAGGAGATCCCAGCCCCTAACCCCTAACCCGCAGATCCAGGCGCCACTCGGGTCTCTGCTGGGCGCTTCGCGCCAGCCACGCCACCAGCGCAGTGCTGCGGAAGCCGAGGCTCCGGGGGGCCCAGGGCTGCAGCGGCAGCGCCGTGCACAGCGCAAGGTCCAAGGCCGGCAGCTCCGCCTCCAGCGCCACATCCTTCGGCGCGTGGAAATGGGTGTGGGTCAATATTAAACCACCAGGGGACCGCCGATTTTAGTCCATGTTCCATTTACCAGGGTTCCATTTTGGTTTCCTATTTTTGACCCACAGCCAAATTCCACAAACACTCTATGGATGGTTTAGAGTCGGTTTAGGGTGGGTTTACCCAGCTTTATCCTCCAAATTGAGTCAAACATTGGTATACGTAATGGGATTGTGTGGGAATTGCAAAAAGGAGGAAGGAAACCCAAATGGGCCTCAAGGGCTCATACTTTTCTCGCATCCAGGGCACTTGTGGGTTCAACTGTACGCTGGGCACGTTGGATTCGTATCTTGAAAACAATTCAATGGAAAAAAAAGACTGGGTGCCCCTGTCAGCTCTAATTGAAGGTGCGGTTGGGAAGAGCTGGTGGTGCGGGAGGCTTCGAGAATAGTTCCACGAACATGGGAACGTGGAATGAATCATGGACAGAGGCAAACACAAATTCCGCGGCCAAGTTCAAGCAATGGCCTGGCCAATCGAACCGGGGTTGCCTTGTGCCGAACCTTGGCTAATGCATTTTGGAACCCCGCCGCAAGAAGCGGACGCTTAGATCTGCTGCGTCCTTGGCTGCATGGTCAGTGTTCGAATCCGAACTATGGCATTGTCAACGGCCATCAAGCAATCGCTTGTGAAGGTGGACGCCCGTTGTTCATCTACCTGGCCTTAGCATTTGCCTTGCAGTTGTCACATCTTGGGGCGGAGCACCTTCTGCACAGAACAGTTGCCTGCACCTCACTTGGGTTTACCATCCCCATCCTCAATTGCAAAAAACACGTAGCCCGCACTCCATTTCTATAGACATGATTTACCTTGTAATTCCCCCCCTTATTCCGGGCAGATGTGTGGGGTAGGAACCGTCCCTTTCTTGGGCCATAGAACCCTCTCCAACGGGTTCCCCGGGCACCTTCAAACCGATTCGAGCCATCGACCTCGACCCATTTCACCGAAGAAAGGTCAACGGTCCGCGCCTCTGGGCCCTTCTCCTCCAGCAGCTGGAGGCACTCCTGGGCCGAGGTTGACGGCTGTTGACGAATTAAATCCGTGAGCAGCACATGCAGACTCATGTGGATTTCTAGGTTGCCTTTTGTTGCTTGTTCCGTGCGGTTTCTGACTGGCGTGGCACTTGCAGTACGATGTGCTCCCTCGTGTCCCTTTTCGTACTTCCAACATATTATCCCATTTCCCGATACTTGCGTGAACCATTGCCCTAACCAAGACAACTGCAAGCTGCAGCTTCAAAGGGTCTGCAAAATGCTCGGAGAGTTGTTTCTAACAAGAACTGATCCTTTCTCAAGGGCAATTACAATGGACGCGCCCTGTGATTTCGTTAAGCAGGAGCAGGGAGAATTGTATCCTGTCTAGTTGCAATGGCCAAACAGCATGCACAGGAGACAAATGCAGCCCCAATGTGGAGGGAAATGCACACAGCTGAGTACTGCGGGTGCAAGCAGCGCCTTCTCCCCCAAAAAGTGTCTGAAGCTGCTCTTTTTGATTGGCCTTGCCCTGTAAATGCATTGGCTTCCTGAAATCACGCAGGGCCACACAGCATTCAAAAGCACGAGATCGACTACTCTCAATCGCTGGTGCCTTCACGCTGAAATTATTCAATCACCACCTGGCTGTTCAGCTTGTGCCATTCGAATGGGGACAGGCCTCTTGTCAGCAAGAGCTGCAGAGTGCATGTAAACCAACACAAAATTCACATCGTTCAAGGTCTTTGGATTTCCAATCCAACACGCCACATACAGCAAAGCTGCTCGGGCATTCCACCTGCCTCGGTCCAGCTCTGATATCATGAAAAAGAAGAGTCCGACCCATCCAAAGGGGTGGATTATGTCTGCCCAGGCATCTGGCATCTGGGCAAAGCAGTGCATGAGCTCGGCCGCCTGAGCAGGTGTCAAACGCCTCCCAAGCACCAAGAGGCACGCGGATGCAGCGAAGCCAAGGTGAGCCGCAGCCACCCTCCACTTGCCAGGGGCACTCACAGCGACAAGGCCGGCAAAACACAGAATTGCAGCGACGCCGCGGCAGAGGCTTGCCTTGAGCACCAGACCCAAACAGCCCTGAAATACCAAGGGCCACAAAGGCGTGGAGCACTTTTCCCCGGATCGGGGCCCTCGCGGTGAGAATAATCTTACCACTCTCAGCGGCTAAATATGCCTCGTAGGAACGCTATACCATGTGGACGCTTGTGCGACGGCTCGGCACAACTAAAACCCACTCAGACTCTGCCAAGGCAAGTGCAAAGGGCGAGGAACTGGGCGACTCGAGCATGGCTGCGATGTTCAGGTTTTGCGGGTTTGCCAGCATGCAGCACCAAGCAGGGCGTGCCTGCACCGGCCAGGAATTCAGAACCTTCGCCAGCGCGGTCGTAGGCTTGATGTACTGCTCGGTCACTGCATAGATGCTGGGTCCAAAGGTCTCAGCTTCACTTTCAGCGCTTGCGGAGCCATTTTCGAATTCGCCCGCACTGATTGCCCTCTCGATCTTCTGAGAGCTGCTCAAAAGAATGGGTCCCCATCGCGACCCCGTGTGCCCTTGATTTTCCCTTGCAGAGGGGGTGGCACAAAGGGGCCACGACAAGCTGGGAAACCTTTGGAACAAGCCTCTCCTGCCGCAGCGGGTGTCACGGACTGATGGACTCATGCAAGGCCACCGCCTGCGAAGTTGTAAAACGACGCAGCGGCTCCGCCTCTGCGGAAAACACCATTGCTGCATTGTATCTGCGGTCCTTTGACTTGTTGGTTCTTTGTAGGGAATGAGGGAGTGATCCCTACTCCTTGTGCTTTCCTTGCAAAGGATCCCGAGGTTTATTCCCAATTACAGCTGAAATTCCCTGCTGGGGGCCAACTAGTTGAAGATCCAATAAGCTCAAGAAACTGAAAGGGAAGCGCCTGGATAGCTGCTGAGCTGACACAATATACAGTATTCTCGGATGCGCTTGCGGCAAAGCAACAAGAACTGCTGCGCAAAGGGTGTCCAACATGACCGACCTTGCAGCAAAACAACTAAACAGGCTGAAGCCAGAGTATCACCAGTTGATGTCCAGCATCCTCTCTCTCTCTCTCGCCCTCTCTGGCTCTCGCTTCGCAAGACGACTTGCCGAAGGGCTGAACAATGACAGTTTGAGAAAGCACCAGAAACAGCCGCGAGCCGGACTCGCGCCGGGCGACTCAAACATCTGGATGAGTTTCCAAATCAGAAAATGGGACCCCAAATGGGGCCTGGTTTCCCTTTGGTTTCCCTTTGCAATGCAGCCACTCGTGTGCGTTTCGGGATGATTTGGCATGGGAACCTGCAAGCGGGTCACGCCTAGCCACAAACCAAATCGACCAAGTGCACAGCTAGCCGCTGGGACCTTTGACCCGGTCCTTTTGTCTCGTGTGCCTGCATGTAGTATCTCATGTCTGGCAAACCCAGGGAGTTGCGTCTAGCCAAGTACTAGCCAGTGCTGCTCTACTGGTGCTTCACATTAGAGGGTAGGACCCATTTTCAATTGTGCGGTGGCTGTGAAGGATAAGAAAGGTAGACGGGTGGACATAGCCCCGATTTTTGGATAGCACCTCTGTTCAAAGGTTGACAATATGTTCTTTGGCAAAGACCGTAGTTTTTGCCAATGGTCCCCGGAAACTGCGTTCTGTTCGCCTAACCCCCCACACTAAAAAGTGCATGCCTGTGTGTCTGTGTGTGTGTGGGCGCGCTTTCTTCTCGCCAGAGTGGCGAAGAGAAGCTGCTCTGCGTCTTCATAGCGCCCCTGAAGCAACGCCTCCACAGCTTCTGTGGTGGGGCGTCGCAGGTGGCTCGGCGGCGGCGGTGGCGCGGGGGCCAGCTGGCCCATGGCCATGTGCAACCGCGTGATCCCAGAGCGCGCGGCAAATTCAAAGTCCAAGGTTTGGTGAGTTGTTGGGTGCTGTGGATCCGTGTTGCTTGAATGCTGTCTTGGCAGTGTGGGGCAAGGCACGCATGGTCCGAATTGCCAATGACAAGTGCATATTAAATCTGGCTCAGCGCCCAAATACAAAAGCTGATGTTTAGCAAAGCCTGACCCAAATCAAGGCAAGGGTGACATGTTGCAGGCTAGCAGCTGGTAGTGTAGGCAGCTAGATGGCTTGGTAGGTGGGTAGGCAGCTCGGTGGGCAGGAAGGTTGTAGTAGAGGCCCGCAGGTAAATACATAAGGATAGGAGGCTGCGCAGTTTCAAGCTATGCTAGCTGCTAAGCTGGCTGGGTAGGTTTCCAGCGAAGGTAATCAGGGTTGAAGCCACCATTGGGGGGGGGAAGGGTGCCACCATTCTTGGACAAACCCTAGCGGCTGCTGCAGGTGACAGAGCCGCCGGCGACGCGTAATCAGAACACGCGCACACACTCACGTTTGCACCCTCGATAATGGGATCATTGCATGGACCGTCGTGGATTCACAACAGCAAACGAAAGGAAACCGGAACGCCGAAAGGAGACCAGCAAGACAACAGGAAAGCAAAGGGAAACAGCAGAAATACACCAAACAGAAAGCAAGTTCAGAAGGCAACCCCTGAATCTAAGCGTGCAAAGTTTGTTGTTTGGTCTTCTCTTCAGCTTGAAAAATGTGTTTGCTTGTTGGTTGCTCTCTCACTTGGTTTAACAAGCACTGAATCTAACTGTGATTGAGAAGCTCCCTAAACAAACGGGTCGGAGCCAACGGATCTTTCAGATGCAACATGTGAGGGCCAACTGGCGCCCGGGCAGCTTCCAAGAGTCCACTGCTTGCAAGAGCATCTGCACCTGGTGCTGCTGATGGGAGGCCCAGCTCGAAGAGACTGAACAAGCACAGCCACCCGCGGTTGGTATCAACTGGGTCACGTCACCGGTTTTGACCATTTCGGAAGGATGTCGAATTCAGAAACTGGGAGTGGGTTCTGTTATGTTGTTTCCCTCGAATCTACCGTTTGGAGGTAGACTTTGAGAATCGTGAACCAGACGGGCCTGATAAAATTCACAACAACATATGCCTAAACTGTGCTGATGGTTGAAGTCTGAAAGAAAGCAAGTCGAACGACTATGCCGGCATCGCATCGTTGGATTAGCAGGTGCTCCTCAATAGGAAAGCGCCAAACTGCAAGCAGCTATACTGCCATTGAGCCTGCCGCACTGCGCGTAAGGTTTGGCCGTTCAGGGTTTGCCCCGACCAAGCTTTGCAAGGTTTATTGAGGCCAGCCAAGGTTGGCGGCCGCAGCCCTCGTCCCGTCTTCATGCCGTCAATGCAACTTCGCTTCTGCGCTGTGCAATGTGATGTCAGTGGCGCCACTGTCCGGTGGGCGGGATGACGCCATGCAAAGGACATCTGGGCAAACCGCTACAAGTAACAAAATGGGAACAACAAGTTGTAACAACAAATGCGTAAGTAAGGATAAGTAAGGTACATTCGTCATGGGCAAGCCCTAAGACAAGCTTGTTCTACGTCCACTTTGGTGTGTGTCAGTTCTGCTGCGCTGGGTGGACTTAAAATGGAAACTCACAGGAGCCACGGTAAAATGTGCAACTAACTACCTGTGATGTGGGGAAATTACCCCTAATGTTAAAAGCAAATTCAGTGAGTCTGTGAAGCCCCTTGTCCAGAGCCCTTCTTGTGCTTCTGGATCACAAGCGTTTCCTTCACGCAAGCCTTCATGTACTCTCAACTAAGGCGTCCAGAACTGAACAGCTGAGACGATGTCCGCATTTCAACGGGCCCAGCAAGCATGAGAAAAAACAGTGTCCGCCACTCTGGAAATAGAAACACGAACCGGCGACCCAAAACAAAGCCCATTGCAACCGACATTCAAGCCAACAAACTCGCATGACAGCCCAGCAACTCGACCGAGCCGGGCGCAGTTTTGGCACAAACGCTCAGTTGAAGGGGTAAGCCTCGGTCGCGTAAGAAACACTCGGGATTGAAGCACAAGGCTCTTGCTCGCAGTTGCGATTCCTGTGCTGTTCCAACGCTGCTTGAACGAGCACAAAGCCACACAACTGGCAAATGAGACACGCCGATAAGAATGAAAGCCCTGAACCTCGAGGGAGGCGGGTCTGTCAGACCCCTGTCCCCTTGCAGTTTCGGAAGTGTTGGACAGGGGGTGGACAAAATAAAACAAAGCATGTCCGTCAATATCCTTCGTGTGTCGTTCAGCGGTTTGCCGGGTGTGGGAAAGTGTTGTCCTACCTGTGGCCGGTGGCTTGGCCAAGCGGGTCTTGCCTGCAAGGCAAAAAACTCTTACCCTCCTCCACCTGCGCCCTGTACTGAAAGGATTTTCTAGTTTGCTGCATCAAAGGCTGTAGCTCCATAGCGCTGCCCAAACCAGCACAAATCTCAATACTACATGACCGTTCCTTTTGGCACTCACTCATGCGCACACACACACACACCCACACCTACAACCAAACGCGCACACACGCACCACACACATAAACCCACAAAAACAAAAACAAGCGCACACACACACACATTCTCACACATACAGACGCACACAGAGACGCAGACACCGACACAAACACAGACACGGACACAGGAGCGCACACCCCCGCAGCCCGCACTTCCGTGGACAGGAACACCCGCAAACGCGCGCACGCACGCACGCACGCGCGCAAGCGCGCGCAAGCGCGCGCACACACAAACACACAATAACACACAATAACACACACACACAGAGACACACACAGAGACACACACACACACACCCACACCCACACCCACACCCACACACACAAACACACAAACACACAAACACACAAACACACAAACACACAAACACACAAACACACAAACACACAAACACACAAACACACAAACACACAAACACACAAACACACAAACACACAAACACACAAACACGCACACGCATGATGACCATGATGGTTTGGATGGTGATGGTGATGACACAACGATGATGATGATGATGATGGTGGAGATGATGATGGCGATGAGTGTGGTGATGGTGATGCTGTTGGTGATGACGCTGACGGTGACAATGACAATGGCAATACACGGTCAAGATGATGGTGGTGATGACGGCAATGCTGATGCTGAGGTTGACGACAACAATGACGATGATGATCGAAGCTGGGGGTGAGGATGAGGATGAGGGGATGGTGGTGATGATGACGATGCTGATGTTGACGATGATGGTTCAGGGTGAGGGTGAGGATAGGGTGAGTGACGATGGAGTTGACGATGGCTAATTACGGCCACGGCAATGAAAACGGTCAAGGTAACGGTGATGATGGTGATGATGGTGAATGATGAATGAAGCCGGGTGCTGATGCTGCCGATGATGATGACTGCTGGTAAATCCAAGCGCGTTGATGTTCAGTTCATGCAGGGCCGGGACGCGGCGATGTGGCTGTAGCTCTGGCAAAGTGTGGCTGTCCTGTGCCAAGTGGACATTCTCACGCAGCTGGTGCTTTCACGCATGGGAGGCATAAACGTCGTTTCTTGCCAGCATGCCAGCTGCCCTGTGCCTGGGCTTGGTGTTACGAGCGGAGATGAAAGGAAGCCTCTAAGAAGCGTTTACGATAGCGGACCCCCAAGAAAGAAAGCTTTATCATGGGTGACGTCACACCCCCCAGCAGGGATTCACCAGCAACCGCTTGACGAGGCCTGTGCTAGACTGCTGGGCTGGTAGCAAATGAAACCAACCCTGACAGGAAACTGGGTCGAGATCGGGCCCCCGGCAGCTCATGCGGATGCTCGAAGAGGCAGTGGCCTGGCTGGTAGATCTTGAAAGGAGAAGCTTCCGTCTGAGACCCTGAAAACCAACAAGCAACCGAAACAGGGGTTCCTCCAACAACAATGGTTTCCTAGACCACGCTAATCTGCAGGAGTTTGGGACCCTGACACAAGAGTAAAAGACCAAATCACTCAAACGGGGAGGCGAAAGTATACCGTAGCCATGTTCTCCTCCTTAGTCTTCAGTGGGCCATGTGGTTGGAGGAACCTTCCTGTGCCTGTCATTCCAAGATTTTTGCCCAGAGCCAGCAACGCCAGTGCTTCAGGAACCAAAGGCGGATCAACCACCAACAAGAAGAATCACACGAGTGCCATGAACAGCTACGACGCACGACGTGTGAATGTGCAACGTGGGCACAATGTGAGAGCCAGGCCTCCCTTAGAACGAACAACATAGTATCCACAGCACCGATGGGAGTTCTTGGTAGGTTAACCCAAGGAAGGGCCGCTGTTTGAGCTTGATGGTAATTTACATTGTTCAAATTGAACCCTTCTTTGGACAACCTCATTCAGCTTTCCCCAGGCTCGTTTGCCCGTGGTTGGGGCGGCTTTTGGTAGGGAGGTAGCCATTGGGTTGAAACTTGGTTTTCAAGACATGAGCCATGGCTTCACAAAAGGACAAGGGTTCGCCCGTTGGAAACAAGGATTAGACATGCACACCCGTGCGCAAGCTGGCCTCCTCCACCTCATGACGCACCTCAGCATGCGGCCACTGCAATTCAAGCAAGACACATCCGGGCATCGTCGTCATTGACGAATCCTACGACATGTCATTGCCTCTGACCTGCTGTTGGCCTCCCGTGCAAGCAATGAACAAAGCTAAACAAGAAACGCCCATCCCTCTTCCCCAACCTTCTGGAACTTGCTTCAGAATTTCTGAGCATGATAGCGAAGGTCCCATACGCTGAGTCTGCGCTTACTCTTGCGGTCTCTTGCGGGCCTGCTTATGCAGCCAACATGCCCAATGGATGATACCACCTGCGACCTAAAATTAGACTTAAACCACGCTTAAACCCTCAATGACCTGATGTTGTGGCTCCCTGAAATCAGCCAGGCAGAGAACTCGGACTCCAAATACAAGCCATACCTTCGTGATGCACATTTGGAGACATGCTTTGTAAAAAACAATGTCTGTATCCCCTGGAGCTCTGGAACCACCTCGCAGAGTAAGCCGCCGGCCCAAAGGTGCCGCCGCTGATCGCCTCCGAAAGCATTTGTCATGAACCTCAATGGATGTGAAAAAGCAACAGACATTATCCTTTTCTGAATGTCCTTCAACTAGAAGCCGTAGGGCAACATATGTATGTGTCTGGCCCATGCAACCCTCACCCTGTCAAACGTAAACTTCAAAGCCTGATTGTAAAAAACGAAACAAACAACATTGTAACAACTCCAGGTTTTGGCAACCGCTACTTTTTGATGACTAGCGTCGGCCTCCATTTTGGAGCCAAACAAGGGCTACGAGAGACTTGACGCTAAGGATCTGCTTCTTAGGACCCCAAAGTGGGATGTACGTATGCAGCATGATTAACCATTCGCCTGGCAGATATTGGCTTATATGAACTTATATGCTATTGTCCTGCACGCTTGGTTTCTCAACATGGTCACTCAGCGCATGAAGCTCTTAGCTCCAGCGGGAAAAGCGGGACACAGCCTGAGTTTGTACCGTCAAAGCAACCATTGCGGAATGAACATGTTTATCCTCAAGGCTCTCCGCAGAAGATAGCCGGTCTACGCAAAATACTGCAGGTTCTACGCCAACATGTCCGTTCTGCAGCTGTTCCACGGCTTTGCTACGGCTTGTCTATGGTCACGTCGTCAGTGACTCTGTGAAATTAAGCAAGACAAAAGCGCCCAACGCTGCAAAGGCAAATTTATCATTTGCCAGAAATAAAGGCTCTGTCCCGCCAAGGCTTTCAGCAGGTGCATGGCGCAAGCACAAATAAGGGCCCAAAGACCCTGTCAAGAAGAATAATGCGCTTAGCTGGAAGAAAAATCATGTGGCTACTTAAGGGGTGGCTTTGAAGAACAAACTTGAACCCGAAATGGAGCCAAAAAACATTATTGGAATTGTGGTGCAAACCTGCGTTCATTCGCACATAATGCGAAAGAGAGCACAGCGTTAGATCCAACGGACATTTTTCCGGGTCGGCCCCCTCCAAGGACTTCTTTGTTCCATCCCAAAACACTCATGGGGGGGAAGAGGTGCTGACTCATGGTGGTTGGACTGTGGTGCTTCAACACTTCCTGTCCAAAAAGGCTGTTAAACATAGCCCAGTACCATCCGACAATCATGGAAATGAAGCTGGAACACATTAAATGGATAGAAGTCTCCCAAACGTTCCTGATGGTTTGGAGGTTCAAAAAAGCGACAACTCAGGCTTATCAAGCAGAATGAGGCAAACAAAGAGGCCTGAACAGCGCTAGCAAAAACGACAAGAAACAGCTCTCTCAATTCCAGCTTCTGCCGAGCCTAGTCCCAAGGTTGGCCAAATAGGATGACCGGCGTCTGGCGCAGTCGACGGGGAACAAACGTCTGACGGACATATGTTCAACCCAAGCATGGAACGTTCAGACTTGTCCAAATGATTGCATTGGAAGCCGGTTGTGCCACAATCTGATCAAGGAAGGCGCACCTAAGCGCATACAGTGTTCTGGCAACCAACAGTCAGGTGTTTCCACGGTCCTAGGAGCAGCCGGAGATTCAACTCTAGTGGCATCCTTCGCATTCCTTCTAGAGATCCTTCCCCCAGAATCCATTAAAGACGTTTCTCACGAAATTGGGGCCAAAATCATGGCCCGGCTAAAGCCTGTCAACCAAACCTTCAAGTCACACAATGGGCCGGCGCACGATGGAGCCAAGGCACTTCTGCATCAATCATCAGTTCACACTTGGGTATAACGCTGCGAGCACTTCTCGGCATGCCAAAGAAAAAGGCTGAACCAACAGTTCCAACAGAGATCCATCCTCGAGCTGGCAGTAACTTCTTGGAATCCAAGCTGTGCTTGGCTGAAAAATGCGTCACCTTAGGACTCGATTCTTAGATTACATTTTCTCGATAGCAGGTACCAGGGTGGCGACACTGTAAAGTCAGCAAGCAAGTATGGCCCACTGCAGCAAAAAGGACCCAAGACCGCTGTTCTAGCCTACCGGTCATTGATTCGTCTTCCAGCACTGTCCAGATTACGGTTTCAAACAAACGCCCTTGCTCATTGCACCAAGCACTGCCCCACAGAACGCGCGACACTGCTACGGCAGGGCCCGAGCTTTTGTTGAGGGCAATCGGGTGACAGTACGGGTAATGTCCCAACCAAACGTGAACCTCTGACCTCCAATTAGGCTGTGCCCGTGCCAATCTCTATGCCCGCGTGCATGAGATGAACCGCACCAGTGGATTGGCAATGTACAATCTGAAGCACGCTTGGAATGAGACTGCAGCTGGTTGGTGACTGATCTAAAACACACAGCTTGGCGTTTGGCACGCGAGTTTGGCGCCTGGGATAGGTGCTGGCGGCCAGGATCCTCAGACATCCCCCCCTAGGGGCCCGTGAAGGTGTTCGTCACGCCCGCGTTGGAAACATGGGGGAATCAGCCGATATGCGACTTCAATGAGACGCTGCTGGTGCTGGCTGGTGGCCTACTGGTGCCGCTATTCCTGACTACCAAACAAAACGAGATTAACCTTGCAAGATTGCGCACAAATTGCCTGCAGTCGTCCACTTAACATGCATGCTTGCTTTGTGAATATCCCTCAATATGCGGGGTGTGGTGGCACTCATTTATAGCAAACTACTCCTGTAGATCGATGCCAATGCGACCATGCACCTAGGTTCAAAAGGTCGGGCCATACCCAAGCAGCGTCTGCCACACAACCAACTGAAAGCCAGCTTGGGATTGCCAACGCCCACCTGTAAAAGCGTTGAAGGGCGGGCATGTGACGGGATACCACTTCTAGCAATCTACTATATACATGGAGCGTCGATCATCAAATTTGCAAGTTAGGACCTAGTGACGTCGGATCACCCCAAAAACCCGTCAGGAGACGTCACTCTCATTTCTAACTGGCTGGGAGTCTGTCAAAACGATACCACTCCGCCCTATCAAACTATCAAGCAACTCCCTTCACAGCAGCATGAAATGAAGCTCGCAAAGTTTCAAATTGAAGCGACTGGTCACAGGACAGGCAAACCACCCCTGTATGCTAGTTCTCCAAGACTGGGCCGATCCCTTAGCCCCTCATCCCGCCCCCAGCCAACAAATAACTTGTCTAACCCCTTGAGGCTGCAGCGGGCGGAGTTGCTGCCTGCATGGTTGGACAAAGCAGGGAACAGTCACGCTGCTGGCTGCTCACACACACACCAGCCCGATTAAAATATACAAGCAGTAAGGAATCGGAACAGGCATGAGAGTTGGAGGCCTAAGGCTTTCAGGAAGAATTGCTCCTTAGTGCCAGGCGCCACGGCTGCTTCTAAACGGCAAAGCTCAGCGGCTTACCAAGAAAGACCTTCAAAAACAAAGGATGTCCGAACCACTCGTTGCAAACTCCAACACTCCAACACAGTGGCCGTCAGTTTGCACCAAAACATGCGAGGGGAACGCGCCTCATGAATGAAGTCTGTACGCGCGTGTATTGGTGCGTGGGTGCTAATGCAATGAGAGCCAACGTAGACCCACGGGCAACAGCGCATTTTTGCGTCAAAGTTTATCGTTTTACACATTAGATGTATGTTAAACATCATTAACCTTATCGTTTTTCTTTGCACCTTATCGTTTTACCGGGGTTCGCGCATTTTTGGACAACTGCGCGCATCAGCTCTCATGGTGGCTTCAAAGGCTTCCTTTCTTCGTCGGACTCACGAGCAGCAAGCTCCTTCCATGCTTTTCGTTTGCGCTTCCTTGCTTCAATTTGTTTGGCTAGCCTGCGCATCAACTGCAATAATGTGTTCCAACGTAGAGTCCAAGACATGTTCCAACGTAAAAGACAAGTATGCTGTCCATGGCCGGGAGACATCAAAGGGAAAGCTAGGGTAGAGTGGCTAAGTTCCTCTCAATGGGCAACTCATGGGTTCTGTCAAAAAGCGTTATCGTTTTTGTTATCGTTTTGTTGTCGTTTTCAGCGTCGTGACTCGGAAGCCTCTCCCGGGTCTCAATGCTCCAAGCCATGGTTGTGAACAGGAAGGACGGAAAGGGAGCAAACAAGATTGAGCAAAATGCTAGCAATACGTGCATTCCATGCTCCAAACCTTATCGTTTTCCAGCACAAACAACACGGAAACACCCAAAAACCTTATCGTTTTTTTTTGCACCTTATCGTTCTACCGGGCTTCGTGATTCTCCAACACAATGTGCGCGACTCTTACATCCCGCAAACACGAGAGTATTGCCAGTACCTCAGATGGATAGATGGATAGATGGATAGATGGATAGATACAAAGATGGATGGATGGATAGATAGATAGATAGATAAATAGATAGATAGATAGGTTCATAGATAGATAGATAGATAGATAGATAGATGGATAGATGGATAGATGGATAGATGGATAGATGGATAGATGTAGAGATGGATAGATGGATAGATGGATAGATGGATAGATGGATAGATAGATGGATAGATGGATAGATGGATAGATGGATGGATAGATAGATAGATAGATAGATAGATGGATAGATAGATAGAAAGGTAGAACGACCAGATAGACAAATAGAGAAACAAAGATTGATTAGATTGATCGATAGATTGATAGATAGAGATACATGTATTTCACAATTTCACATGAAACGACATAGGAATGTAGATAAATTGTCAGCGATGACAGAGAGACATAAGAGAGACAAATAAGAGATCCAGAAGAGATAAATAAGGACAAAAACAAAGGAAAAAAGGAACAACAGAAGGAACAACAGAAGGAACAACAGAAGGAACACAAAAAATATCTGGAAAGAACCTCTTAGACAAATTGATTGATTTGATACGCAGGTGCAAGCATGGAAAGTGATGGACGCCTACTAAACACGTTGTGGAGTTTGACAACCGTTCCATGAGTCAACCGTTGGGATAGTGGCTCATGAGAGATATTGTCTTTGAGCTGGAGTTGCGAAAGAGTGGTCTTGGCCTCAGTAAAGCCAAGCTCCAGAAACAGCGCAGAGACGTACCAGACATTTTGAGCCTCTGATAAGATTCTCGTCTGACCTGTCTGAGGGTGGGGTCCCCAGCAACAGCAAAAGTAACTCAGGCAGGCTGAAATATGCACTCGCACGCACTCGCGCTGTGGGCCGACTCCGTCAAGTGTTCCGAAAAATAGCCCGCAATTGTAAGTCGCCATATCTGCACCGTTCAGCCACGCGAATAGGCTCATGACACTCACCTATATGCTGCATGTTGAAATTTGTTGAAGTCTTTGCCTGCGCTGATGCAAAGAAAGTTCAAGCAGCAGACCCGTCTCCGCCTCGATCGGCAGTCACGAAGGTGACGACCTGTGCATCGCAAGATTGGAGAAATTGTGACTGGATGAGGTTCGGTCCTGTTTAAGCGACCTGGTAAGGTGACTGCCCAGCAACCATCACTAACCCACAAACAGTGAAAAATCTTGGGATGTCACCGGACGCAATAGACCAGACTTGATCTTCCAGCTTGGAACGTTAGACTCTTAGAGAAATCCCTGAGGTATGACCATCAGGCAGGGTGATTTGAAGCAACTCCTGATAGATTCGGAAGTCGCAACCCAATGACGTCAGCCATCACTAGTTAAGGTGGTGGCACGCGTTGATACGGGCAAACAAATGTTAGATGTACCTATGATCCGTGCAACATGCCCGACTCCATTCTGTCAATCCTTTTGACTAAGCACCGCCCACTCTGTCGCCAAAACTTTCCTGTTGTAAGGTGAATGCCGTCCCTTTCAGACTGGAAGTTCGTGGCTGGGCCCTTAACACTTGCGGATCTAGTTTCCAAGGCCAATACCCACTTATCCCCTGGCCACGCATCGTTTTGCTTCCGACGTGGGGGCTAGCTATGCACAGCCCATTGACATTCCATGGGGCAGCCAGCAATCACTGGCTTGCTTGCGAAACCAGCAAACATCCAAATGTCAAGCCAGCAAACTAACAAGCTCTGGGTACCTGCACCTAGCTGCCGAATGACTCCAGTGGCGAGGGGAAGCCTTTGATGGGGGTGACTAATTTTGCGAACCCACCAAACAAAAAAGAAACGTTCAGGTTGAAATCTGCTGAACTGGGTGCCAGCACTCGGCAACCGAAGGTCGAACTCGCTGCCTGCTTGGACAGGAAATGTGGAGCGGAGCGCCGCCAGTGGCCTGGCAAATCGCCAAAGGCGAAACTGGAACTGGTCTTAGGCTCACTTCTTACGTGGTTTTGCTATAATCTCTCCTACCCAAAACTGCGAAAAGAGCAGAAACTGGGGAAGTGACGAGATAGGCTGAAGGGAAGTGACCACAGTTTCCATGCTTTAATCACCACCAGGAGGGAAAAGAAAGAAAAAGAAGAAGCTCAGTCGGAAGGGAAACACGAGCCATCTCACCATACCCTGATTCCAGTCGAGCCAGGCCAGAAAAAAAGCGCACCAAAGCAGATCCAATTGTACACCATAGCCTCAGCCTAAACAAGCTTCTGCTGATGCGGGTTTGCTTGGAGATTTCCTCCCACAGCTGCACACAGGTTTAACTCCAGCCATTCATATCAATCAACCGCCGGATATGGTGTGTTCATCCACGGTGAGCCCAGAAACTTCCTGTCGGAATCCGGGAACCCAAGCCCGATGCTACTGGACCTTGGGGATATAAATACCCCTCCCCGCAGAAGCGCGCCAGACCCACGGCGGCAAGCAGCAGGTGGGCGCCGCGCCTATCAAATCCGTGGTAGGCAAGGGAAACCATCATGAACCTGCTAAAGCTACTCAACCCACTAGGGTGGCTGGAAATGGGCTGGATGACCGCAATGTTAATCCCCCGATTCAACCCCCAAATGGGAATACCCTCTTTGCAAACACCATGGAAGTGGACAGGAGGGTTTCGGAAGAGGACTGTCCTCTTGAAAAGGCCCCTTATCCACTTGCATGCTTGTTGCAGCCAAGACACCCCACATGGCGTAACCTTACTTGCCAACTAAGGGCAATGCGGGGAGGGACTCTTTTTGATTGATGCATCCCTTTGCCATCCACCTTGGCGTGTCTTCCCCACTCCTCCACAAGGCTTAAACCAAGGAATCTGGCTCCTGGCGGCTCCCACAGCGCGCCCGTTTAGCACAAGGCAGCTTGCAAAGGAAGCCTGTGACACTGTGCAGTGAGAGGACACCTTCAAACTTGCCGTATCTTGTGCTTGGTATCGTGGAACCACAGGCGGATCACGCTTTCGCGGCGTAGCGGGAAACAAATACATTGCCCTTTCTCCCCCCCAAAAAGGAGAAGAAAAAAACACGATGAATGAAGGTCCAGCCAGCGAGCAGCCAAGGGGAAAGGCTAACTTCTCCTGCTAGCTTGCAGCTGCAACTTCCCCGGCGCCTGCCCTGCCTGCAACTTTGGAAGCAACCAATCGATGCCGCGCTGGCGGTCGAAGAAAGCGTCCTGCAGCTCCTCAGGCGAATGCGAGGGGCACGCGCTCAGCGCCAGGCCCACGGTATGGCGATGCCTACACCCAAAGCAGAACTGTAAACCTGCACTGCTACCAATATCCTAGCACCTCTTGGATTGCTAAGGCTCAAACTGCACATGGCAGAAGACTCTCAGTTGCCTAGGCCGTTAAAAACAATAATGAGCAGCGAGTCTAAATACAAATCTGAAGCGCAACGGCCCTGCCTGAAGTTACATCATGTATTCCTCACATTCCAGGAGCCCCCTAAGTCTATGCATTATGATCGACCGTGTTGCTCTCCTAATCTTGCTTTGCCCAAGGTGGGAATCTAGCACCCCCTTTGGCAGCTCCTGGTCAGAGTCATCGATGCCTGGCAATCAAGCATGAAGCAAAATACAGCTGGCCTCTTGGCTTTTTGTAAGGGTTCCTCAAGAAACAACACCTTCATCTTGCTTGCGCAATGGCATTGGCAAGCACTGGTGGTGGCTGATTGAAAATGGGAAAGCTAGCGGTAAAGGAAAGAAATGGTGACACTGGACAACTGGGTGGTTCTCCAGCCGTTGAGGTCTCTGTGATGCCCCGCTTAAACTATTTAGTGCTCAGGATCGCACAGCCCAAGTCCTGCCTGTCTCTTCGCTCCAGGAACAGGCCAAGATCCGACAAAAAACGTCTTGGGACAAACCCACGCCAACCCCAAAACTCCAACTGACAAGCAAAAGCTCGCTTTTCCACAACGCACTGGCACACACTTTGGCTGCCCGTGCTGCCACACATGCACTCAGCAGCTGCCCATGCTCAGTGGTCAAGAGCCTGGAGCCAAAGGCACAAAACATCGCGTGTGGTGGCCTAAGTCGTACATTGATGCAGCTAGCGTGGAATCCCATAAAGTGGTTCTGCAGCCAACTTGCAAATTATTCTGATTGTTGTGCCTCCTCCGAACAGGCCATTGCAAGATTCCGTGCAGCACAATGTTTGCTGGCATGTAGCATGCAGGGGATCGGCGGAAGCCTCATCAGCACACGAGCACCGATTGTTCTGCACACATGGAGTTCTGCAAAAGATACACATTCATGCTTGCTGTTTTGGTGATGCGGCTTGTCATGTTTACTCTCACTATTGTTGCAGCGCTTTGTATTTTTAAGTGGTCGCTAGCAATGAAAGGTTCCTGCACTGTAGTAGCTGAAGGTTCATGGCAGAAAAGGGAAATGGCAGAACATGTGTGCGTGTGTGCGTCTGTAAGCTACTTCAGTGCAGTCCGAGTCTCACACCGTAATTAAGCGGGCCACTCCAATTTGATCAAAACACCTCAACCGAAATGTGCGAGAATAAGGAATTACGAACTAGTGATGTGCTGCGCAATGCGGCCAGGCAACCAGTTGCCTCAGGTGCTTCCTCCACAATCTCCTTTGAATAGTCGTCCTGGTGTGCAAGTCTTTCTGATTGCGCTGGATCAACGCAAGAGGAATATAGTGCTTCCCCCTGTTCTTGGCCCAGAGGCCTGGAAACAAGAAGGAGCATGTGCGGGAACCAGCCTACGGGCAACAAATCCCAATCCACGGACACTTGCCATGTGTGGCACCCAACCAGCTGCCCACCTCTCAGACTCCTTGAGCCAAACAAAACGGTGATGCTTAATACAGACAGAAAGAGACAAAGGCACTGTCTCTTGCCTCCGGCTGCCTCACCAACATCGAAATACTTGGAGCGACCGGGCGACAGTCACTGGCCTCCTCCGGCATGTCACACAGGTCCTCGTCATCGTCCGATCGGCCCTCAGGGTGCATGGTCGAAATGAGACTCCTTTTCTGGTTGAGTATTTGTTTGTCAACCGCCAGACAAAAGGGGAAATAGGTGCCACTGCTTGCCAAAGCTTAGGACCAACCTGGTCACGGCTTGCATCTCCCCCTAACACAGTTTGTAACACCCATGCAAGGACTCCACATGACCACATGCTTTATTCCTTGCTTGCTGGCACCCTGCCGGGCCCGTGCAACAGCATCCAAGCAAACAAGTTCACATACACATTGGGCAGAATGAAAAGCACCTCAGGCCATTGTAAACATTGTTGAGTGATACTCAAAATGTCTGTGCTGGTTCCGGATTAGAATCTTGCTTCCGTTGACATCGTTCCAGTTCGGGCCTGGCCCTGGCACTTGAGCCCAAGCAAACAGCAAGAAAATAGCAGGCAACAACACCAACCAACAAGAGGTGCCATGAACCCTCCGCTTTTAACCATGGCCAAGGACCCCCTCGTCTCCCTGCCCAGGTGCCGGGAGCCGCATCAGCGCCCAAAGAGCGAAGGATAGCGGCAGAAGTGCCAGCGCCTGCAGAGTGCCCAGCGCTCCTAGGACCTCGGACCGCTCGGGCAGGAGGAAAAGTAGCAAAAGCAAAGCGCACGACTAAACCAACAAAACAACTTGAGTTGTGGTGCAATGTACTAATATCCCGCTGGAAAAAAACGGGGCGACCCCTCCATACATTGTTCCTTGTGACCGAGCAGAAGAAAAGGGCATACTGTGAGAAATTGGGAAGGGTCTGGAGGGGTTCTGGTTGGGGGCCATGCCCCCTTTCCCACAAACTGGTCGTACATCCTGGCGTTTCTTTCTCCATTACAAAAGGATTTCTGTTGGACTGCTACTCCCCAGCTTTTGATCTGGGAACTTCAGGGGTGTCCAAACTGCAATCATTGTCGGGGGCCGCTGGCAAACTAACACGGCACACACACACACACACACACTCCCTCACCAATAAACACAAACAAACGCACCTACCCTCCGCTGCAAAGTCTTTGCCAAGCAGCCGGAAGCAGCAGCAGTTGCAATGCTAAGCCCAATCCTGGCGCGTCACATGCTGCACGTGCGACAGCCACTGGGCTCACAAGCTGCTAAGGCAGCATGAGATCAAAACAGGACAAGAGCTTCTCGTAACTAAACAGTAGAATGACACTCATCCCTTGCTTCCCTCCTCTCCTCATGCCCCCCGCCCCCCAGCACGACTAACTTGTCCGCAGTAACTTGTGTAATTGGCAATAGTCGGTTTCTGCCCCATAGGCGTTGATGCCCAAAAGCAGGTTGGCGTCCGCCCGTCTTCCCTTCGCCCCGCCTTCGCCGAAAAAGGCGCTGGCTGCGAGGCCGCAGCCCAACAAGGAGCTGCTGGAAGATGAGGCAAGCCTCGCGAAGGCCAAGCAAACATGGGGATCCCTTTTTTGGGTTGAGGATACTCCTTCTGGAGTAGCTTTACAGAACAACAAAAACCGCATTTTGGGGGGGGGGTCCCCCTAGACACACCGGGAAAATGGCTCAATTCCCTACAGTCGGTGAGTGGTGTGGTTTGAAGCTCTGATGTCCAAGGTGAGTGGAAACTGCCGCTTACTGCCAGAGTTTTGCGTCTTTCGAGAACACCACCCTGCGGGCAATGCAGATCTGCAAAGAGCGGCGCCAGGAAAGACCGATGTGCAGTGGTGGCCAAGATCCCCAGCAGCTAGTCAAGCTGTTTGCTCGCAAGCTTGCCAGAGCTTTTAGCATGCTGTCGCATGCTTGTTTGCTGCGCGTTCCACATTTTCCTGGTTAGAGTTGAAGACACAGCTCTCTTGCTGAGAGCCTGGGTTGTGCCTGCTTGCGCAGTTCACCCGGGATGCTAGGTCTCCCAAGGAGAAAACACCGACCCATGAACCCAACACATGACTTAAACATCTGTAGGCAAGGAGTGCTGGGCAAGCGTACCGGTGCCCAAAAGATCTTGCATATGCATCTCTGACAGCAACAAGAGGGAACTCCTCCCCTTTTCAGTTGCAGTATGAAGCACAAACCAAGCACGCAGCTACAGGGTTTAGATTTTCATGTCGGCAGGGTAGACTAGATGTACCTTCCCTGCCGCTCACATGAGCCTGAGCAATGGGCAAAATGGAAACTCTGCGCCACCGCTGCGAGCCGTGGATTGAAGTTTAGATGCCAACTCTCATCAACAAACAAGGAGTCAACGAAAAGCAAGCACAAACGCAACATAGCCAGCCACTTGTAGTTTCAATTGCCAGCCACCGGCCAACCACCTGCTCTTGGCGACTTGGGGATACTCCCTTTCTCGGTCCTGGCGATCTGCACGGCCGCTGCCAGTAACGAGCCCAGGCTGCACTGCAGCAACAGCCGGCAGCTGAAGAGTTGCCAAAGGTGCATCCCCGCCAGGGCTTGGCACACCTCCGGCGGTTTGGCAGACCAGTGGTTTTCCGGTGCATGGGAGGGGATGGCCAAACTTGCGCTGTCTTGACCTGGGCTTAATGATTATTGTGCTGTTAAGTTGCTGCTAATAACCCCCCAACTGAAAACTTCAAAATGAGGCTGGCACACGGCCCCTCTTGAAACCCCCAGTCCTGAGAGCTTCGATCTGTTCATCTAACCATATCTAACCATCGATCGTCTCCTACCTGGCTGGTGCAACTCATGTTTTTCCAAAGCGGAGCTATGCTCGCCTTGTGCTATTTGTTAGAGAGGGGGCCACTATGTACTATATGTGTGTATGCGATCCGGAAAAAACATGTACATATAAATTTGCATATTTCTATGTACATATATATATATATGTGTGCATAGATAACATATGATAAAATCATATTTACAATTATGTGAATGCATACTGTAAAGTACACATCTGACAATAGAAAGTGTATCTGTTATGTGGTTGCCTTTTGGCTTCCCTGCCGTTTCCCTTCAAGCAGAATCCAAAAGGATGCCATTCCCCCACCAACAAGCTGAACCTCGAACACAATTTCATTGCATGATGCAATCCAGGTTTCCCCTTGGCTCTGGGCTTCTGGCGCCCCGCATGGCCAGGGCCGCCAGGATGGCCCCCACGCAGCTGACCAACGCGATGACCTTGGCGCTGCGCCGCTGCAGCAGCAGCCCACACAGCAGCAGCGCCAGGCCTCGCTTCGGCCGAATCGCGGAAGCGCCGCGATACGGCCGGCCCAATTCCTGGGAACCAATTTGTGGACCCTGCCAATGGAGTCTTCCCTGGATTTGTTCAAAAAGTTTGGTTTGGATGTGAAGGAGTAGAAGAGGCTAGCGGGCTGGTTGTCCGTGAGCCCTAAGAGAACTAACAATAGATGGTGCGGAGAAACCATGTTGGCTGATAGCGGGTTAGTCGGGGTGTTGTGCTGTGAACAAACACCACTTTACCATTGAGCCAAGGGATGTGAATAACATCGATCGTATGTGTAGTTTTGGGCAAACGCCTGTACATATCAACCTCTCCTTATTGGTTTAGCTGCGTTTGTCAATTCGTCTACGCACATATCGCACACAGGCAGGGCACCAAATGAAAGTGACATGGTCAGCTCGAGCGGCCGGAGCCTCACCCAACGGGGTAGGTCTTTTCATACAAACAACATCACGTTCTTCATCAAATAATTCCCGACAAGAACAAACACGTTTACGTTGACCTGTCATGCCTTGACCAGTCTTGGCCAGCCAAAGGCCAAAGCACCTGATGCCCAGCACGCATCATTCAGGGATTCCTGCCACAACAGGCACCTGTGTGTGTGGGCGTGTGTGTGTGTGTGTGTGTGTGTGTGGTGTGTGTGTGTGTGTGTGTGTGTGTGTGTGTGTGTGTGTGTGTGTGTGTGTGTGTGTGTGTGTGTGTGTGTGTGTGTGTGTGTGTGTGTGTGTGTGTGTGTGTGTGTGTGTGTGTGTGTGTGTGTGTGTGTGTGTGTGTGTGTGTGTGTGTGTGTGTGTGTGTGTGTGTGTGTGTGTGTGTGTGTGTGTGTGTGTGTGTGTGTGTGTGTGTGTGTGTGTGTGTGTGTGTGTGTGTGTGTGTGTGTGTGTGTGTGTGTGTGTGTGTGTGTGTGTTGTGTGTGTGTGTGTGTGTGTGTGTGTGTGTGTGTGTGTGTGTGTGTGTGTGTGTGTGTGTGTGTGTGTGTGTGTGTGTGTGTGTGTGTGTGTGTGTGTGTGTGTGTGTGTGTGTGTGTGTGTGTGTGTGTGTGTGTGTGTGTGTGTGTGTGTGTGTGTGTGTGTGTGTGTGTGTGTGTGTGTGTGTGTGTGTGTGTGTGTGTGTGTGTGTGTGTGTGTGTGTGTGTGTGTGTGTGTGTGTGTGTGTGTGTGTGTGTGTGTGTGTGTGTGTGTGTGTGTGTTTGTGTGTCTGTGTGTCTGTGTGTCTGTGTGTTCTGAAGTGGGGGACACCAAAAAACGGCTGATTTCCTGGTTGCTTTGTAAGCACCCGGGAGATGCACCATTTCAAGAAACCTACAGAATGCTTTGAGGTCCCAGCCCCTGGTGGCTTCCTGAAGGGGCCGCCCCCCCGAAAACCGGCAGATTCCGCCCCGTTTCGTTTGAAAATTTGAGAAGCCCATTCGGCTGGCCCTGGTTTCCTCAAGTTCGACCGGACCGACCCGATCCACTCCTCGAAATGTCGGATCCTCGGATCCTCGGATCCGCGCGCCTGCCGGCTGGGCCGTCTCTGGCAGGTCCGTGCCATGCAGCGAGTGGAGCAGCGGCACGAGGCCCAGCTGCACGGAGAGAAGAAGCCATGCCAGTGCTACGCCTGCCGCGCGCGTTGGCTGAGCTGGTGCCCCCTAAACGCCAGGTTCAAGGGGATTGGGAACCTCGAGCTATAAAAGGTTCCAAAAGTGAAAGGGGGAACACTCCGAAGAAAACATGAATCCAGCCCTGATATGGCGGCAAGAGCATTGAGAGAGACATCGGGAATCAAGTGGCGCGCGCCTGCAAGAGAAGAGCCCACCAGAGGCTGCAGTGCCTCCTGGCTGAGAAGGCAGCCCTTGACTCGAGCATCAGAACCCCGAAGCCACCCCAATTCATTCTAAACACCAAACAAATGCCCGCAAGCTGTGTCAAAAGCCTCTGGCAGCCTCCCCGCGCCAAAAACGTCATATCGGAAGGGTGCAACGCAACCTACAGCCGACAAAGAGTCAATGCAGGCACAACGCAGCCTACACTCGTGTTAGTGCGCTAGTACACCTTGCTTTCTCAGACTGGTCGAATGTAGAAACAAAGTTTGAAGGGTGCTGGTGCAGCTTCCACTGCTCAGGACCCCCGCCGTCTGCATGTCGTCTGGAGCTGCCCCGGCCTGCAGAGCGTGCACTATCAGCTCTTTAAAACTTGGGCGCCTGGCGAAATGGCCCCAGGACCTCCAGGAACCATGCTACTCTCTTTCAAGGGGTCTCCGTTCTGTCATGGACTATTGAAGCGACAATATCTACAGGCAGGGCAAAAAGCTTTGCATCTTGGCGCCAGTCACTGTTGCTCCGCAAATGCTCGGTGATCGCCGAGCGCTGCAGCGGCGTCGACTGCCACACAGCTCTGTCAAGCTTGGCTCAATCAGGGGGCCCGTGCCACACCATGATTGCTGCCGATTGCTGCTGACGCATGCAGGACGAGAGCACCATAGATTCTTCTGCCGAATGACTTCTCCCAGCCAAGAGCACATCTTCTGATCCTCCTTCTTTGGCTGTACGCTCCCTCATGGGCCAACACACGCCTCAAGCCAGAACCTTTTATCCGCATCTATAGTCCATGGATACCCTCTCCTTAACTATAAAACGAGCCCCCCCCCCTCCCCTCTGTTATACAATTTCTCTTGTTGAAGGCTTAAAACTCCGACGTACCCTCCGCCCTGTTTTACGATTTTAAGGAGAGCGCATAGTCCATGGGTGTCCTCAACCACAACGCCCTTCCACGCCTCGGCCTCGCAGGCCTTCATCCAATTCCCTGCCGCCACGTGCAGCGCTGCCATGGCCATGGCCCACGAGGCCACCAGCACTGGCAGCGCCTCCTCAGGACGTGAAGGACGTGGACTGATCGGATGGCCGTCAACCCTTTGCATCCCAGACCTGGGACAAGGACAAATGGATGAGTGAGAGAAACCACCCTGGCCACTCACAAAGGGAACCTGAAAGGTCCTTTCAAAGGCTAAGGCAAATGGTCTTTCAGGAACCACCAAGGAGGAAGGTACATCTCCGGGACCGCCTGTCTTGATGGCTCTCAGCAGCAACGGGGCCCCATGCTCAAAAATGCCATTGTGATTGGCACCGGGGTGTCTGGTGGGAGGAGCGTGCCTCGCTCATGACACCTGCAGAAAATCAGCGTTCCAATGACATTTTGTTGGTCGGCGTGACCAGCAGTCCAATGCCCAGGCCGAAGTGACATTGGTACGACATGAATTGCCTGTCTCCGCCCCAGGCGGCAACACCCCAGGTCACAACAGCCCCAATCAAACGTGAAGCTATCAAACATGCCCCACGTGCGGATACAAACGCAACCATAGGAACAGTCAAACATATTCATGAACCTGTGCATACCTGGCAAGAACAAACGCACATCTGCATTATTGTGTGAGATGCATATCTCATCGCTGGAGCAGGGCAATTTCATATTTTCCCTGTACGGCTCACCATGCAACCCCGCCCCCAACAACCCCCCCAAAACGCTACTCATTGCATCCACCTTGGTATGGACTCCTTTCAAACAGAGCTCCATTCCTTAAGGCTCTGAACATCGCTTCCCCGCCTGGTCCAAGCCCAGGGAGGGCAGCGGCCCTAGGAAAAGACCGTAGAAGGCCCCGCACACTCGCCAGCCTGCGAGCAAAGAAAGCAAAGAGAGGGGGTGTGCCTTATGAGAGGAACTCCTCTTGGCTTCAAAAGCAAACCAAAAGGACGCCGCTCATTTTGGGGGCCCACAATTTTGAGACGGACTCAGCGTTCTCCGGATCAAAACGAATCCTGGGATGTCCATTCTATCTTCCTCTTGACAAATATTGAGTATGTGCCAGCCATTTGCCGGGCCGGCATTTGATGACTTCATACCTCTGCTCCTACAATGTTGAAACGGTATCGGGTTACAATGCTTCAAGGCTTGACTTTTAGCTATGGCTTAGCGCAGAGGCAAGCCTCGAAGCTGCTTTGTGGCACAACTGAAACCTACCTTGCAATCATGCTGCTTGGCGTTCGTCCAGCCACCGAAAGTGAGACACGACCTTGTGCCGTTGGGATGTCTCAGCCACAGCTAGCGCTCCGTGCAATGGGTTCACATGTCATCAGCTCGCGTCACGAGTATTGGCGAACAGGGACATCCAAGGTTACATGCAGTTCACAGGCGACAGCTTGAATAAAACGGCAGCCCAATGTCAGAACATGAATCTCTTTGCCAGGTGCATTTTCCGGGGCTGGTCAGCTTCAACGCCCGCTCGCCCAGTTTCCGCACCTGCCCAAAAGCTGTTGCCCTGGAGCAGCGCGCAAAGCAAAGGGACCTGGCTGGGCATAAGCCAGTTGGAGCTGCCACAAGTGCCAAAAAAAATAGGGAGGGCAATGGGTCCAAAAAGCGCTTTCAAGGCCCAGTTGCAAGGTGTCTTCTAGCAATGTGGCTGGACAAGTTGGGTGGACAGTTGGATTGCACAAGTCATGTATCACCCTACTCCTAGTTGGAGCTGTGGTTTGCAGGCTTCAGGCTTTGGGCCCTGGCATGAAACTACATGAAGAGGTACCCCGCGGCCCCTGCAACCTCCAAACCACTGCTTGATGCGTGTGGGTTGAGGCGGGTCAAACATGGCATTTTCCCAAACTCAGGACTAAATGGGGAAAAAAAGACAAGAAAGACATGATAACCTCTGATCACATCTGCTCATTCTCCCTGCACAGAGTGCAAAACACCTATTCACCAATAAGGCGGAGCTGTTTCGTCGAAAGTAGCTTCGCACACAGTACCAATTTGCTTGACAAGTTCGGTCGAACAAAGCCGCAAACACGCGCGGCACGCTGAAAATAATAAACAAAAAAACAACAAAAAAACAGACACATCTTACCAGCATGATGGCAACGAATAGCTGACAGAGTCACGCGTAATTTTGCCCCTTTTGGAGGTCTTCAGCCTGAATGCCATTCCACACACGCACATCCTTGCGGCCAAGCACTGGGGCAGAAAAGGCATGTCCTGCCTGGCACCTTCCCCTCTTCAAGGTCACCTCGGCTAACCTTTCAGTACCTTTCTTGGTGGTCACTGCCGGCGCTCGTGGTCAAGCTCTCCACATCAGCACGAAAAGAACCTTCCGCAAAGTCCTACCCACACCCAAAGCGTTCAATGTGGATGCGTGTGCGCACCCCCACTTCCCTTCGCAAAGTTTCTGACCAGCCCCACCTTGATCAAGGCGCCAGCTATTGCCGTCCAGTGATACGCGAGAAAAGCCAGGCCGGGAGGATGAAATATCGCCTGCGCTGACTGCATGGCTCGAAAAAACGCAAACAAAAATGAAAGGCCCCCTCGCTGGCCAATGTCGGAGCGGGAACTCGCTAAATTTATGCTCGGGGAATACAGAGCAGATACGTTCGGCAACTTGTCGCTGGGACGAAACAGCCGAGTGCCATGACAACAAATGAATTTGTCTACTGCGAACCACTCGTTATTTCACGCCTTGCTCCGATTCGAGGTATCAAGGGCCAGCATCATAATGCCACAATACACTAAGAAAGAAAATCCAAGAGATTGAAATGCCGGCTATTATTCGCCAAATACAACTGGACGTCCAATGTTTTGCACTCTTCACAACGCGAGTCACAGGTTGAAGATGACAAGCTGACAAACTGGATGATGAGTGAGCGAAACCAATGAAAATCAGAAATCCGAGATGCAAAACAAACAGGCAGCGCAGTCAATCAACAATGGATGCACACTTCTCCCCTTCTCCCGCTCTTGGAAAGAGGCTAAAACTCCGAAAGCTTCACCAATGCACACAGAGAAGCACGCACAAACTCACGCGCACGCAAGCACTCGCTGTTGCCACCACCGTCCCCGAAGCTTCACCGACCACCGTGGCACACCAAATCTGCACTTGATAGGGAAACCAAAGGCATAGATTCTGAGAAGCCCGTGAAAAAGGGCTCTCACAACCCCCCTGCCAATCTCCAATCATTCCTCTGGGCTTGGGCGGCATTTCTTTTTGAACTCCAACTTGTGACTGCCCTTCGTGCAGAAGTGTCTCTTCTGACCTACAGTATGAAGCCCCCGCCCTCTCCGCCCGAGGCCCTGGCTAACACCAACATCACCAGACCCACCGCCGACAGAGTGCCGGCGGCGTGGGGACGGCGCCGCAGCAGTGGCAGCCTGAGGTTGACACTGAAAGAGTTCCTCCAAAAGTGGTCCAGTGAGGGAGCGAGTGAGGGGTGGCAATGCACTTTCACTGTGCGACTTAGGGGCACCCATGGCTGCCTCGGAGACTCACACACCGGGAAACAAATAAAATTGGCAAATTTGCCTGCCTGTGTATCGAGGGTAGCTACTTGCAGCAGGCAATATAGAGCAGTGTTCGCTTAGGCGCCTTAGTTGCCAATTAATGCTTCTTGCTGAGCCTGTTGGGATTTGTGGGCAGCACTGCTCATCAGGAAAGACCCTGATGTGAGAATCTTGCAATGTGTTGCATGAGTTGTGCTGCAGGGCATGCATGCTGGTTTAAGACAATGTTGACTTTGGATTACGAAATGCCACCGATGACTCAGGCGCTTGTTCGCATCCAATACTAAACAGTTCTAAACTCTAACGGCGGGCCTCCCTCCAGGACCACCCCTAATAAGTACCGCGCGTTCCGCAGAGCCATTTTCCCGCCCAAAACTTCAACTGATTTCAATTCCAGCCCAATTAACACTTTAGACTACTTTCTCCCTGCAACACGTTTAAAAAGGATTGCATGCGGGTCAAGTACAGTTCCCCACCGTTGGCCTTTTTAGCTTGGAGCAACCCCGGGCCAGGGGCTGGGCACGCCCAGTTGTGATCGACTGCCAACACGCATGACGAATGGCTGCAGCCGGCCCTTATATCTTGGCCCCGCCGAGTCACAGAAGAGCAGTGGTGCCCAGGCCAAGCACAGGCTTTGCGAAAAAAGCCATGACCTGAGTTACACTGCGCGAGTGCCTTGCGTGCACAAACCTTGAAAGAGAGTGGCTGCAATTCTGAGAGGAACTGGCTAGGGCGAATTTCAGCCTTGCAGCAATCTGATCAGTGACCTTTCAGCAAAACTGATCCCTGCTGACCTTTGACTAAAGCGCGGCTGAAACTTGGCCTAAAAGGCTTAAAGCGGACCAAAGCAGCCTGTCCGAGCTAGCGCCTCCCTCGAAAGGCATGTTTGATACAAATGTGGCTTAAAACCGCCCCAAGCATTCCCAAGGTCTAGTGTTTACAACATTGCATTTGCATGTGATCCCAGGTTTACCTGAACAAATTGTGGTACTGCCATTGGCGCACCCCGGCCTTTTTCGATGCAACAATCAGAAAGTGAACAAAGGCGACTTCCCCAAAGCCTTCCAGTCAGCTCCCCATGATTGGTTGAACAAGGGCAATTACTTAGTTCAAACCAGGGACAAGTCTCATTTTCTCACATGCAGTTGCATGCCAACCTTGACTTAACTTCCAAGCATCCAAGCCGTGCAATTGGGGGAAAGGGTCATGCCCACCCTGCTGAACGCAAATAAAACCTTCGCGGTGAGCGGCACTGCGCAAATCTTATGGGGCACCTGAATACCTCATACCCGTCAAATCGCAAAACCTCCGGCAAGGGCCCTGTACTTCTGAGCACACTTCTGCCGATGACAATCTCCTTGTCAAAGTAAGTTGGCCCAGCAAATGGTTGCTTTGTTTGTTCCCTGCATGTCATGGTCGAAGCTCCGCTGGGCCAAGGTCAGTGGTCATGGTACCATATAGGGATGATGGTGCTCGCTGCACAAGCAAAAGATTCCTTTCCTCGGCGCCCCAAGCTATCTGAAGGCTGTCCAACTGCCAAGCGGCGCTGGACCTATCTGCCGGCAGCATACTCTCGGCAGCACTGGTGACAGTCAAGGTTAAGAAGCCCATCGCCCTGACATCGCACCGGTTCGTTGCCATCCGGTAAAAAAAAGTCCATCCACGTGCTGGCACCAAAATGTAGCCTCAAAGATCTAACTATGTCTGGTTCCAGTTGCTATCGCTTGCAACAGGCCTTCAGAGATGGGTGCGAACAAAGGCATGCCCGTTTTGAGCAACCCTTATGACCCTGGTGCCTTCCAAACAAAACAGAATGACGCATCACTTGTTTGCAATCAACGCTGGCGCGCACAAACACACGCAGGCAAAACACAGAACTGGTCACAACAACGCGAAGTCACAATAAAATGATAAAACAAATCGCCAAGCATACCGCATTGCAGCCCAAGAAAGCGCTGCACAGGTATACCTAAACACGTACACTCACCATCGCGTGATCTTCTGACGGGCAGCGTGATGAGGATGCCAGGCTTGGAGCGAGGGCCATGGGCAAGCTTTGCCTTGCGTTCGCTTCAGGCCGCGTGGTGTGGGGGTGGGTGGGAAACTCTCGTCTTCCCAGCGGAAACCAAGCAACCTTTACACGCTGGGTGATTTGCCAGCTTAGACTCCTGAGGGTGTGAGGCTGAATGGTATGGTTGACCCGCTGCAAGCAGTATGAGTGGAATAACACGTCCTTGTGAGTCACACCGGTTTGTGCCCGGTCTTCTTATTGCAGCGGGCGATCCACGGCAACAAAGCCCGATGAAAAGCCAGCCATTCTGCGGAACAATTCGGATCAATCAGGGGGTCTTCGCAAGCCATACAAAAGCATGAATACGAATGCTACATCCAGCCTACAAGAGCCAACATGCCGGGGACAACAAAAGGGCGGGCCCAATCTGTTTTAGCAGCATTCACCCTGCTATGAACACAACAATCAGAAGCGCTAGCAGGAAACCTGTGCCGATCAGCCAGTCATTGCTCAGGCTCAAACATTCGCATGCCTTGCCGAATGACCTCCGCTTGACGCTCGACGCAACGCTCCGGCCTTGCCAAACGCTTGAACCTGTTGCTGACCGCGCTCAGCTTCACACACGAGATGCGTGCGCGTGCGCGCAACAACACCAACACCGGATCGGACGACACACATCGAACCAGGCGAACCAACCAACATACCAATTATTCGGAGGAGGGTTGACCGTCCGTGCACCTTTCCTGACAGATTGTCAGTTGATGTTGATGTTGTTTGCCCATGCTGAGCACCGAACCGCAAGACATTCCACAATATCCCGCGCAGAACTAAAGTGTAAAGGCTCAAACGTTCTGCCACTCCAAAGAACGGGTGTTGCAACCCTACCACGAAGTCTTTGAAGAACGTCCCAACACCTCGGTCGAGCTTGGCACTAATTCTGGCTTTTGGTAGACAAGTTCTATGCTGTTCAACGCGCGCTTTAGGACTCGCCAGTGAAATAAACCGGCCCACGTGCATGAGCGGCACTCAACCCAAATTACGACAGCTCGTCTTATTTCTTTGGGCCTTCTCCCCGCCGTGCCCTTGCCGGCCGTTCCAAGTCACGAGCGCGTGGCCAAGGTCCTCGGATCCTGCGATGCACAAAAGACGCCGTCAGTTTCACATCAGTCCCACAAGTAGAAGCTTCAGCTTGTAACAAGCCGGGCTTTCGGGGGCTACGTGTTTGGGAAGTCGCGGCTCCTTCCATCAGCCCAAGCCAGCAGTTTGCAAAGGCAAGAAAGGAGTCCAATGGCAGCACCAGAGCTGCGCTTCTTCTTTCCTCATGTTGTAAATGAACGGCTCCACTATGCTTCAAGTTTGCCCTACTAAGAAGTGGGATCGGCGAGCTAGAGTTCTTAAATGCTCGCAAAGAACGTGCACGAGATGTTCAGTTCATCGATCCGTTTCAGAAAAGGTTTTGAGAAAGGTTGGGCCACTCAACTTTTGCAGTTGTGCAAGTGGCCACTCCCGCAGTCTTCCAGCAGCAACTAAATTGGGCTGCACGCCATCGCCATGCAACCAGCTTTGGACACTCATCTAGGGGCTGACAATTGATAGCGACCCCCTCCCATCCCAAGTAACAGATTTTCTGTTGACACGAGTGGTCATTACCCCCAACCACCCCCAGCATAGAAGCACAAAACAGGGATATGCAAGCCGCACCAGGCAAAAACAAAATATCCAAGCTACCCTAGCCCGTCCCCCCTTCCCGGATGACCCTGGCCTGGCATGAAGGGCCGCCGGAGGGCCAACATTGCGCTGTTCGGGAACATGGACGGCTTCGACGGGGAGGTTTCGTCGAAACCCGCGCGACCGCATGGGGTCACTCACGAAGAGCCGCGCGCTGCGGGTGGAAATCAACAGACGGGTCAACAAGCCTCTGACCTACAGCTGTAAGTTGCCAACCGCCCTGAAGTTCTCTTTCCAAGTCGAGAACCAGAAGTGCATGCTCGGCCAGCAAAGCTCCTGACATACCCAAATCATGTTGCCAACTCCACCATGTCAGGTGCTAGGCCCGGCCATGGCACGCATGACAGGATGGTCGATTGAATGACTTGATTGCAGTTGGCAGCTTAGCCACAGCCAGGGCATGCCGCGACAAAAACCTCAAAGTTAAGCTAAGCTAAACCAACCAATTCCCAGTACTTGCTATTCGCGGCTTGCAGGCACGAAAGCGCCTTCGCAACACACACACAAACACAATTGCATGCCTTAAAGGAACTCACGCAAATGTAAGCTTGCTGACCGCAGGCAACTCTACAGCAAACCCCAGAAATCACGCTCGAAGTCGAATGTGTCAAGAAAGCGCTTGATTGGCCGTGCACACCTACCACACCCTACTATCCTAATGGCGTCAAACAACCATTCGACAAAACTTCAAGGGATCTACCTGCAGTTCGGAGTCCGAGATTTCCGATTTCATCCGATTTCTAAGGGCTAATCTGAACATGTATGTTGAAGCTCACTTAAGGAGACAACCGGCAAAAACATGGCGCCTTCATCGTCGTCAGCCTGACCCCAAACGGACGGAGGCTGACAAGGTCGGTAGTCATATGGTACATTGAAGGGGCCACAGCAACAGCCGTGGCACCCAAAATGCAAACAAGTTTGGCAAACGGCTTTGGAAACCACCAAGAACGACAAACGGGGCTCATAACGCCTCCCAACAGGCTGCAAATAAGTGATCGAAGAGTGGCAGGCCACACATCAAGTGGCTCACGGGAACAGTTGGTACCAAGCAGAGGCTACAAGCTAGCTTCTATGCCCTTAGGCCCTTCCACATGTGTTGATTGGCACAATTCTTTGCAGACTCGCAATCTTCACCGAGAAACACATTCCTTTCACGGATCTGGTGTTGCTCCATTGCTGCAACAAATTCTCAAGCCATGGGCAAGCTGCGCTGCACTGATATGATTCTAAACTGATCTGGGAAGCAATTTGCATCCTGTTGCCCTCTTGAGCAAGCCGAGCCGCACTTGCCACTGTTTGCTTGCGGGGCCAGGGCAGCCTAACCTCCCCCCCGAATCAAACAAGGTCGCCCGTGAGCTAATCAGAGTTCAAAATTCTTACCACGCTTTTCATAATTTGCGCCTGAGCATGGGCAACCTGAAACCCCAAGACCCCTGCACATGTTCAAGGCAGAACTCCAAGTTCGAATTGAAGGACATTGAACCTGGTCAACAAAAGTGACATCGTTCGTGGCAAGGCCGAACGAGGGAATGGACATCCAGCCATCTCGAACGGCAAAGTTGGCCACGTCGCGACCAGACAGGAGCAAAAGCATGTACAAAAATAACATGGCTGACGTACATGATGCGCGAATGCGGAAAAAAGTGGATGTAGTTGCATAGAGAAACATTCTAGTCACACACACACCCCTCACAGCACGACAGATTGCAGGCTCAACATATGAATTTCTCAAAGCACAGTCAAGCAATTAGGGTTTAATCACCTGATGTTCAATCAGGGCCTGTCGATCTACAAACTGATTTCATTGGCCCTCCAGAAGGCCTACCGAAGCTTCCAAATAGGATGCAATTGCTTTTGCTCCAAAGGTGCTTCTCCAAGCGAGGTGCCCAAACCACCAGCTCGACAAGCGAGACATTGTCACATGTGACCCGTGCTCTTGCGCTACTTGGGCATTCCCTGCTCGTCTCTTCACTCGCTTAGGCCGAGAAGCGTGGCAATGGCCTGAATAGAGACAATGGAAGCTACGTCTTCTCTAGCTGTACATATTCATATGATTCATATATGGGATGCAGCCAAAACCCCCCACAAAGCGCGAATCCCAGTCCCGGCCGGCCTGCTGCACGCCGCTTGCGGCGGGCCTTGGGAACTAGAGGGTCGAATCAGCTGACCAGCGAGGTTGCCAAGGATTCAGATCCCAAACTCCAAATGGCCAAGTCGTAGGACAAACCTGGTAGTCCATAAGTTCTGTGGTTGGCCTCCTTTCCATTTGCATCCCAGCCCCGTCTCAGCCCTGCACGTAGTGTCTCCAAAAGAGTGCACCGACGACTCGCCAAAGCTCTCCGACTGGCGAAACAGAAACGGAGCCAGGTGGCCGTGGGAAAGCAGCGATTTTGGTTGGGTCGTTTGTAGCGAACGCTGGATGAACATTTCTGCACGAGGGGAGAAGGGTGACATGGAACCGTTGGAAAAAGCAATGGTTTCACGCCCGCTGCAGCACTTGTTCTGGCAATGTGGCACTTGCATGGCCTCCCCCTTCCCAGATTGGCTCACTTTATGGCAGTCGTTCTCAATTTGTTGGCCCCAGCTTCCCCCAAACAAACCTGCCACACCCAACCAACCTCTACAGCGAAAATGCAACCCCTCTGAAACTTACCCGAGATCTAGGATTGCCTCGAAAAGAGTATCTGCGAAGGGGCTTTCGGCACAACCAAACATTCCTGGCGAATCTTGGACCGTCTTGCGGAACAAACAAAGCAATGAAGCACATGAATCACACGAAGCACACCTCATCACCCTCGGACTCCTCAGTGTCGCACTGCTCCGAAGGAGCACTGGGGGTCCTGGCTGCTCAGCTTTAACCTGGCCTCATTCATCAACCCCGAAAGGGCCCAACATCACATACGCGCCTATCGAGCATGGACGTGCACGTTTGCACGCATGAACTTCTACACCAATTCCACGAGCAAGCTTGTGTGGTTGGATGGCAGGCATCAGCTTCGCGCAACATAATATCTGTCTCAAAGTAGTTCAGACCTTAAATGCTGGCAGGTCCGGGACATGCCTCAAGCACCCTGTTTAACTAGAACTCCCTGTTCGTGTTCTCGTGTTTTGAACTCCTTAATCGAAACATAAGAGCTGTACTTTGCCAGAAGATGTTAACTTCGCAGGGCAGCCTGGTTTCATGAACCAGCCTATCGCACTGGTTCAACGGTTGATGCTGTTCCCGAGCTGCCCAACGAGCGGGACACAACAACGTGCCAAGCATCCTAGCCCCTCCTGAAAGAAATCCCAGAAATTTGAAAGCGGGTTCGAACTTCTTCGGACAAAAAGCTGTCAAACCAATCGGCCCTCGGCCCCTGCCAAACACAGTCTGCAAAACATGCTCGACTTTCACAGACTGAACAAACCCTGAAAATAATCCTGAGGTAGCTCATTTTGCCCTGGTATTTCACCATCGGACTGTTCCCTCACCCTCGGATTTGGGGAGGAGCCACCTCGGCCCTCCAGCCATGCGGCCATCACATCGGGCGACCGCTCCTGTTACCTTCGACTCCTTCCCGGCTCAACGCTGAGCGCCAAAGGTCGGAGGCGACGTAGCTAACGCCTGGGACGTCTCGGGATCTGGGTCTCTGGAATTGGGTGTTCCTTTCAGGCGTTTTAAACTGACAAGGGAAACCAACCAGTTTCCCTATTCTGGGCCTTGATGCCATTTCTTTGCTGGGACTCCCAGACAGTACGCCAACATCCTGACTCTAAGCACCGAGGACCCTATTTTTTTGGGCCTTTAACCCCCAAATGAGGTAAGTGCTGGGCCCCCAAAGGCCTCAAATAATGAGCTCGGCCCGCAGGGGTAGGATCCATCGGCACATGTCTCTGGCTCCACTGGGCTGCCCGGGCCCAAAGCCGCTCCCGCAGGCGCTGGCGTCTCCTCCTCCTCCTGACATGGCGTACGGTTTTCATGGAAACAGCTCATGGAGCTTTGAAAGTCTTGGGGTTGACTTCCTGATTTTAAACCATGTTTTGGCTGGAAACAGCTGTATGAAGTTATGCGATTTTCCGAGAAAGGCTCGCTTGAAAGCATGGGGAAGTTCTTCCTGCCATTTCCTGCCCCAATGAAGGTTGAGCGAGAATTGCAACCACTGTGGGCATCTGCATGAAACGGATCAAACACCTGCCTTGTGTGCAGTTTCCATCAATCGCTCTCATCTTCACCTCTGCCTGAATCCACTATTGCTAGGCATCCTTGTGGAAAATCATTAGAACCAAACTGAATCCAGCTCCATCTACTGGACGCCATCGCCACTAGACTCACTAGACCGGTGTCTTCTACATGTGCCTTCCTAAGGGCCGATTCTTCTGCTCTCTGGTCAGGACTTAAATCGCTTCATTGGGGCGGTGCTATTTTCACCAAACGGCAGTTTTGAAAACAAGAAGCTTCTTGTAGATTTGCGCGAAATCGAACGGTTTTTATCCATCCGCACAGCAACGTTTCCGCAACTTGGCCGCGACGTTTCAGAAATGCACCGCGCGAAACGGCAGTCTCTGCAGTAAACACCCTTTTTTGCGAAACGGCCAAAATATGTTTGCTTCGCCGCCAAATGGCGCCCTCTGCAAGTCAAATGAGTCAGCAACAGCCGAAACAACTCGAGCAAGAGGGGGCTCTAGCTAAAGGCACTGGAGCGTTTCACCATCGCAAGCAACGGCGAATACCTCAAGTTCCAGGATCGCTTGTGTGCAACAAATCCATTGATTGGGCCCTGGGGGTCAGGAGCGGAGTCAACTGACAACCGTTTGCACACTCTGTCGTTCGATGTACGGTTCACTGCAAAAAACCTGCCTGCGCAGAGTTCCCAACGTTTCTCTTGAAGCATCAACGCACGAAAAGGAAACTCCAAGAGGCTATGCCCCGCGCCACCACCCCCGACTGATAGGAAACCCGGTTGCAGAAGCCGAGACCTGCCTCCTCTTGAGCCTCTTCTCGTGCATCATCGTGAACCCTCCTGGCCAAGCGGGCTGTCTCAAGGAGCACAGATTGCATCCCCCCATGCTACCTCAATTCTCGTGATTCGAACGGAGGCCCACC